CTTGAAAGAGAGCCTGATGTTTGCAGCAACTCCCAGCCGAACATGTGACTCAGAGATATGTCCCGGTAATCCTCCTTAAAATAAAAGATACCTTATGTATAGCAAGATATTATTTAATGTGTATCTGTACCGCCTGTAATTTACTCTATAAATTACTATAATTTGTGAAAGAAAAAGGAACAGATTTCAAAATACAGATATGATGCCCTGTAAAAAAGACGTATGATTAACCGTGAGTAAATAAAACAGAAGGACCCGGTCATAACACAACAAAGAAATACAAGGAGCCTCGGCTAGTCAAACAAAGTCTAACTGAGAACTGAGCCATCCAAACCTGCTTCTTCTACTGCTCAATTATTGCTTTCACTCCAGGAGTATTTATCGAGGGCCTGCTTGGTGCCACGTTGGACAGTTCCAGGTGCTAGGGACCCAGCAGTGGACAAGGGAGCCCCTTTTCTTCCACCCCGCGCTAGGATGTGAGCTCCCTGAGGGCAGCTTCTTGTGGAGCTTACATCCTAGTGTGGGTGCAAGAAAACAAACACATACGTAAAGTGTATCGACGCTGGTATGTGTTAAGGAAAGCAGGGGGAGGTGGTAAGAACGGGCAGAAGGAGGAGGGGAGGGACTTTGCCATTTTAAACAAGGCGGACGAGATAGGCCGCAGCGAGAAGGTGATAGTCCTGAGAAAGAAGTCAGGAAGTGAGCGCACTGCAGATATCTGGGGGAGAGAAGGCAGTGCAAAGGCCCTGAGGCAGGATCACAGGGGGCATGGAGGAGAAGCAGCAAGAGGCCACGTGGTTGGAGGAGAGGAATTACAGAAGTAATAGGAAGCCAGGTTATGTGGGCTTCACATCTCATGGTTCACTCCAGAAGTAGAATTCACATTCTCCACTAAGGTAAGTGCACAGACTTTTTGTTTAGAGTGTTGCAAAAATGCTAAACCGTGTGGGTGGGGAGATCATCAAGAGACACAAAGCACTGACCAAAGTGACAAAAGGGAAGAAGGGTGAAAGTTTGCAAGGTTGAGGGAAGTTCAGGAACCAGGAAAGCAGGTGCTTGGGTTTCATTCTGAACTTCAGTATCTGCTTCACAGCATCCTTTCCATCACAGAAAAGAAAAGCTCTCTTTTAATCAATGGAAGCTATCATCTCAGGTAGGACCCTAGTGCCTGGTTTCTCAGCCTGGGCACCACAGGCACCTTGGGCTGGGTCATTCTTTGTTGTGGAGGCTCTTGTGTGCTTGGAGAATGTGTAACAGCATCCCTGGCCCCTCCTCCACCAGATGCCAGTAGCACCCCTGCAGATACAGTCCCCCAGACAACCAAACACGTCTCCAGACAGACATTGAGGAATGTGGCTGGGGTGGGAGCAGAGTTGGGTCCAGTTGAGAACCACTGCTCTACTGTGAATAGATGATAACTTCATCTCGTTTAGTAACATTGTTTTGAAACCAATGTGTTGATCTTAAGGCATGGATCTCTTCCTAACTTCTACACTGATCCAAAGCCTCCCATGCTACATATTTATAGTTTCGAAAGAACAAACGCCTCAGCTGTTGCCAACACCTCCCTGTCTCAGGCCCTTTGCACCGGCTGCCCCCTCTGTGGAACGCTGGTCCCAGGCAACTCCTACTCGTCCCTCACGTCTTGTTAATGCCTTCACCATGAAGCCCCGTGGGAAGCTTTGCCCTGGCCCTGATCCTAACTAAGCATGTGAGGTCTTCCTATTTCATGCTCTCACGGCTCCTGTACTCCTGCTTCATAGTAACTACCACGACTGCAATTAAGTAATTATTTTGGTCATTACAATTTAATGTCTCCTCCAGTTCAGCAGGAGCCCTACCTATCTTGTTGGCCTGTGCACTTCTGGAGCACGAAAGGAATGGCTGTGGACTCAAATTTATATAAGAAAAGACTATCTCTGGCCAACTGCGGTCCTTTATTACTAACCAATTATTATGCCCCTCACAAGCGACCCAAGTACAATGATACAGACCATGGCTTAAAAAGAAATCTCTTAGGGTAAAATCTTGGCTATGAATATACGTTGAGTGTGCATTTCTCGCTCTTTTTAACAATAAAAGCTAAGAAAAGATTTTAATGGTGTCAAGAGAAGCAAAAAGGTCCTCTTCCTTGGATGGCAATGAACGAGCCAAGGAATAAAGTGGACAGAACTATCATCTTTCTGGCTTTTTTGAACTCCTCATAAGCATGTATTTTAGTACGATTTATTGCACACAGCATACACCATGTCACACTGTTTATTTTCTTTGTCTGATATCCTTAAGTGCATTTAAAGTCCTCAAAGGGTTTAGTGTTCTGGAGCCCACAGATGAGTTTCGAAGTGTCTGCGGGTCCCACCCTTGAAATGGTATGTAAAGACCTAGACACACCTTCTAGGAACTGGGTGCATAACTTTTATGGGGTTTCCAAAGGGATGAATTCAAGATCCATCACTGATGTGATTCTATGTAATGTTGAAGTTTCTAGGTATATTCCCCTTATCTTGGGTCCCTCTCTTAGGAAGAAAAACCAAGTGTTTGGTTACCGATTTCCTCTCCTGTTTCAGCTCCTGCACGTAGCGCGCTAGCTCCACGGTGATCTGTGACGTCATGTTCTCTGAGATCACCTCATGCTGCCCAGCGTAATCGTTCGTTTCGTTCAGGGTGGAAAGGAAGGCTTTGCATGCCGTGTACCTACGAACACAACACACGCTGGTGGTCACACAAGGCCGCATCTGTGCTCCTAGTGCTTTGTGCTGGGCGCCATATTAATTAAAAGCAGGTTAATTTGCATCGACCTCCCATAGGATCCTGACAGTTCATTACACATAAGAGTGTGCGCATCAAAATGGCTCAGAGCTAATTACGGCAGAAACACTTTCCCATTTGTGAAACCGAATCGCTCTACACACGGCAGTATTTGGCTTTAATACTTAGTGCAAATAAAACACAAAATACGTATACACGCTGCACGTACCAATGCCATGCATATTTAGATCTAAATTAGAGACATAATACTTTCGGGCCACCTTAATTGCTGACTGAAATAGGCATATTTCTTGGATGAATGAGTAGTATGAAAGAGACTCCTGATATCACAAAACCAAATCAAGACTTCAGAATGCATAATCCCCACTTCCTGTATCTGCTTAGATTATAGTCTAAGCGTTTCCTAATTACCTTAATTGAAACAATCTGGAATCGACAAAGGACCTCAGTAGAAGAAAAGCTAATTGAGTAGGTGTTTATTTTTCTCTCCCCCCATTTAAAACCTGGCACAAATATGAATGGGAATGCAAGTTATTTTTGTAGCTATATATAGTTCTCCTTTCCTTCCTAACCATGGCCAGTGGCATCTAGATATTAGGACGAGGTTATCAATGAAAAACATACCTGTATTCTTCTTCCTCCTTCGAGTTCTTTTTAGGTTGGTATTTCTTCGAAAGATTCCTACAACAAAAATGCAGACATGTCACCTTATACAAAAAGATAACAGAAACAAGGGAATGAAAGGTGAAGTCAGTGCTCTTATCAGTTTAAAGAAAATAATTACAAGACATCCACAGCTGAAATCCACTGACCTCCTTCCATCTTCCAACATGTGTGATGAAGCTCCTGTGAGGAAGGACTTGCATAGCTTTGCATCTTTACCTCAAAGGCAGAGCAAATAAGGACAGAAACGGTCGCTAGCTGGCCACTTACCCGGATGTTAAGACCCCGCTTTATTTAGTTGGAGGGTACAGACCATGTGTATAAACGCAGTGGCTTTCATGGAGCACTGAGCTCAGGACAGTGTCTCTTACCAGGCCACCCTTCCCTCTGACCATCTTCATTTGAGCATTCTCTCTAAATCCAAGGAAAGTATGTGGACTGTGTCCAAATGTTTAAATCAATAGTCAAAGTGCCAAGGGCATGTTGTCAAGGCCATGTGGCTCGTCCCCCAAAGAGCTCATGAAAACCACCTGTGAACAAGTCTTCCTGAAGGCAGTAGACACGATATTTTGGGGATGCTCGTGTTAAGACATTTAAGGAGGAGAACTTTTAACCTGCCCCACAGGTTTGTACTGAACACACTCCGATTAGCCAAAATTACCCTCCTCTCTTTTCCTAATCCCATCTCCAGGTCAAGAATCCATGTGCATTCAGCACACTTAAATTTACACGAAAACTAAGAGGTTACCATGGCAAAACAAACAAACAAACAACAACAAAACAGCAAACCACCTCACTAACATTGGTTCAACTGGCTGATTTCTTATGGGTCCTGATTTGGTTGCTGTAGTTACCGAAACAGCCAGAGGAAGCTGTCCACTGGTTCACAGTGGGACTCTTCATTTGACAGCATCCCAATTTTCACTTCCCTGTTTATGCCATGTTGCTATTCCTCTTTTAGAATAGATACTTTCAATTTTTTTCACATTATATTTTTTCCATTTCCCCTAAGTCTATAGATTTGCCTAGGAAAATGTGCAATAATACATTTACAATTTTGATCATGGTACACTTTACAAAGTGAAATGTGATTTCACCTCTAAGATGATGCGAGAGGCAGTGGATTTTAGTAAAAAGGACATTGCCCTGGAAATCCAGAGGCCATTGTGCCTGGATGACATGACCTTGGACACTGCAAGCAAGTCTGTGCTTTCAGTTCCTCATCTGGAAATACAAGGGCACTGGATGAAATTATCTCTATTGTCCCTTCAAGGTTGGAAATTCCAAGGGAATATATAACACCCAATAGACTACATATCGTTGGAATAATTTAAAAATGATGACATGAGTCTATAACAACTTAAATATTATAATTGGACAAGCTGTTGAAACAATGTACTTCCATGAAGGTTGCTATCATGTGAACTACACTTAACCGATATTATGTTTTCTCTATGGATACTCTGGATATAAAATGCAGTTTATCTAATAAATCTAGATTTTAAAATGTGAAAAAGCAATAGTTCCTTAAACGATGTGCCTTAGAGAAAAAATAATGCAAAAGATAGAAATCTTGTATGTTGAAACCACATAGAGTTGAGTTGGTTTATGACAACTACTCCTTACAAGGTAGATTTAGTAAAAATAATACCACAAGTGGCATGAAAGGGGAGCACATGGAAAGCAGATGATTATATGATCAATAAATTCTTCTCCAAATTTACTTAGAGTAGCATACACATATGGGAGACTGAATGATTGAAAAAGCCTAGCATGTGAGATATTTTTAGTGCATGGTTTTAAATTTACCCATTTCTTCTGTTAACTATAACTTGCAAATTGAAAATAGCACTTCTCAATTCAAACCCTATATTAAAATTCTTTCAAAACTTTATTTTAAAGGTTTATTTAAATCCTTGTTTTCCTTTAGCTTCCAGTCCTTAGCAGCCATAAAAATAAACTTTTCATCTAGTTGAAGGAAACACAGCTTGAACAGATCCAGGTAAAACGGACTTCTCTGTAATTCCCACTTACCAGTCAAATCCTAAAGTGAACTGAAGGCCAGTTATGCCCACCAGGCTCTGATGGCTGAGTGTCACTGACAAAGTTAGTGTATAGAGCACTCCAATGCTTCTTAAAAGCACCAATGAATAATTCACTCTATAAAAATGCTGGCTGAAAACTAAAAGCTTAAGAGGTCTAGAAGTGAATTTCAGATCTAAAGAAATATGTCTCTCAGGGACCACTCCAAAAAAAAAAAAATTAACTTTCATTTCTATTCTTTGAGACAGGCTTTCTCACCCTATCTGTATGAGGTTATTTTTAAAACAAGCCAGCAAATAAACCACAAAAAGCAGCTTTAAATTTATGGGATCTTCCTGAAAAATTTTAAGTGTTTTCTGTACTTAACTTGCTCTTCAGAGAAGCTAATTAAAAGGTAAGTGAAAAATATACAACCTTTAATAAGGATCCTGGATTTGAACTTGGTTGATCCTAGGAACCGCAGGGAAGCTTTTAAAAAGGAGACACTTGGGCCTCATTCCAGACCCTGTGAAATGGAAGGGCCAGGGTTGGGTTCAGGAATGTTTTGTTTTTTTCTCTTTTATTTTTATTTTTTAAAAAGCTTACCACAAGATTTCTGGGAAAATATGGCAGAATAAAATTCGATCAGCAAATTGTGCTCTCCCAACAGCACGAGGTGAAAAATAACAGCCAGGAAGTTTTTCAACAGCAGAAATTAAACCAAAAAAGAACAGGGCAGCACCTCAGTGTACACACTTTGAAAAGTGGTGACCAGGGCGAGGGACCAAAGAGTCTAGAACAGCATAGAATGGATGTTGGCCCCACCCTCACTGTCCCAGGGAATAAGTCCATAAACCCCTGAAAACTCATGCAGAGAGAAGGAGTGAGTAAAAGCACTGAGGAATAAGTATGCACTGTGAGGAAGACAGCCAGGATGACCACCCAGGTTCCAAGACTCCGGCAGGAGTGGGAGCAGGAGCTGGCCACCTGGACCTCCACTTTCCAGGGCCCCCAAGCTGAATGCCTGGGGGAGATCACCCCAAATTTAGGGATTCCAAAGGAACAGGATATACCTTTGACCTCATGGCGCAAACTCCAAAATTGAAACACAACCAAAATTTCAGAAGAGACAACAGACTCAAAGTCTTAAAGACAAAATGTACAAAACCAAGCCCTGTTCCCCAGCTTTATCCTTAAGCTCAGAGGGAAGGACCAGTGGAAGGGGCGCAGCAGAGCACACAGGAACACTGAGGTTGCTGACGGGGTAACAAAAGCATGCTTAGGCATGGGCCTGTGACGCTTCCATGCTTTCTCTCAGTAAGTCCCCTCAACAACCCCAAAGGTGGGAATTAGTGCTTCACATTCTACAGAGGAGAAAGGTAAAGCATAGAGTAATTTGCCCAACGTCAATGAAAGAACTGAGATTGCATCCGGGGCATAGTCTGTCCTCTTAACCACATCACTAAACTACCCATATTAAATACAAGCAAGCTAAAAAGACATGATATGTAATACAGAAGAAAAGGGAAGGAGGGAAAGAGGGAGGGTGGGAGGGAGGGAATGACAGAGAAAAACCAATCTGGAAGAAAACACCCAAGGAAATGAAACAAAGCCAAACCTCTCCAGAATATTTTACACTATAGACAAACTTAAGAAAAAACGCAAAGCTAATAGAGCAAGAACTCCACCCCCCCCAGACACCGCCCCCTACCCCCCACTATAGGATAAAACAGGGCGGGATGGAAAACGAGACTGCAAAGCTAAGGAACAGAAAGAAGAACTAAAATGCACCACTATAGAGATAACAAATACACTAGCCTGGATAATTTAATAGAGGAAAGATTTGAGAGAGTCATAATCAGAAAAAAAAGATGATCTGTGGAAGACAACAGTAAGAACATAAGGAAAACTTGTATCTCTGAACTATGGGTTGTCGGAAAAGTCAGGACGTATTTTTTGGTTTTCGTTGCAAAAATGCGTCATGACTTTTCCAACAACCCAATATATAACCCAATTCGTAGGACAGAAAAAAAATTTAGATATAATTAAAGAAAGTTCCCCTGAAATCAATGAAGAATTGAACCTGCATATGAAAGGGCTCTATAGAAAACAACAAGGCATAGCCTGGTGAAGTTATTAAACTGCCAAGTGGAGCAACAAAAACAACTTCATATGTATTGGCAAACCAGCAAGTCACCTACAAAGAAAAAGAATCTGGCTAGCCCCAGACTTCCACCAAAAGACAATGTAGCAACAAAGTTTAGAGAGAAAGAAAGCATGACCAGAGAGGAACCAAGTCAAATTGTTGTCAAGCAGTAGCATTCTCAAACAAGAAAGAACTCAAGGATTATGCCACAAACTCTCATTAGGGGAAAAATGTCTCTATTTTTCTTGATGCCAAGAAACCAATGGAGAGGCTGTGGTAGGAGGGATGGTGGTGAGCATCAGTCGATATTTAAATACAGAATTAAGACAAATTAACTGGGAATCATGTTATAGACCAAATTATATAAGTTGATTAGAAAAGGAAGCAAAACAAGGAAATACTATTTTCTTTCTCTTTCCTAGCAGTGAGTTAAGCCTGTTGAAAATTGCAACATGGAGTTTAAAAAAAAAAAAGACATCCTACAGGTTTTTCATAATCTTTTTCCTAATCTTATGAGTCTGTTTTAATATTTAAAGTTCAGAGAAATCCTTCAGTTTCACTTTAATGTGTTTTCTACTGTTAAAGTAAATTTAAATGTAATACCTTGTATATACAATATGTAACATATTTTATAAAATGATTTTTACATAGTTACCCTTTATTTACAATGAGCTCCAATTTAAAAAAAAAAAAAACAAACTTGACCAGGACATGAATGGTTCATCAAGAGAGTACAAATGGCTCAAATGTATAAAAACATGCTCAACTTCATTCGTACTAAGAGAAACACAAATTAACACTCAGACTTAGCAATTTTTCCTTATCAAATTGGCAAACATAAAAAAGATTG